ATGATGCTGGATTCCCTCCCCAAACAGCGCTTCCTTTCCCTGATAGCAAAAAACCTTCCCGGCTTTTCCGGCTGATGCTTATGATGTTGGCTTTCCTTTTTGCACAAAGGCGCGCAAAAAATGTCACTACGCGTAGGTGATTGGCCTTATCATTTCTCATGTGACTGGTTGTAGGAATCTCTTCAAGCTTATGGTAAAGATCTTGGGAAATTCGGTCGCTAGGAATCTAGCATGATAGAGGCTCTTTGTTTCACACAGTTAAATGTCAATTTTCCTTACGAGCACTAGGTTCTGTGGGGATGACAACCGGGCACAACATTTTGACAACCGGTTTGGGACTCATCAACATGGTGCCTATACCTTAACCTAAAGGGGCTTACCCTATTATCTCAGAATCCCCGTATACCCCTCAAGGTCTCGTAGGTACCCTAAGCCCTAAACCTCCCCCATGTTCATTAATTCCCTGAATCCAGGCAAGCCTCAAGCATTCCCAGCTCATGGAGATCCTGCCTCTGTGGTTTCCTGGGACATTTTTTCCTTTTCATGGCGGGTTGTTAGTAGGGAAGATGGGAATATAGGGGTATAATATAGGGTTATATAGGGAAGGAAAAGAAAATGAAAACTGCTATTTCGTGTTTAGCGTTAAGGGTTAGTATGGAATATGGGAGTAAATTCTATAAGGAAAATCTTGGGATCGTGTTTTCTCATTCCCCATTGACCCCCGCAATATGCTCAGAATAGTAATACATATTGGGTACTGCCTCCAACAAGTAAGAGTCTGTAACATGGGCTACATTACAGGCCGCACATAATTTCACCACGGATGTTATCCGAGTGGAGGCAGTCGCCAAAGTAGATGCTCAAAGTTTGACCAAAGAAGCTAGTAGAAGCAGTATTTCGTTCTGACTGGAAGGGAACCACGGGTATAATGTCCTTGGTTGTTTGCCCACTGACTAAAAGTGGTGTTGTAGGAATGTATTGGAACTCTGAGCCAACATCCCTGGTGCTCGCTACTCCGTGGGATCACCTAACACACATCAAGGCCTCCGCAAGAAGAGTAGCATACAAGGAGTATTAATGGACCCGAGAGTATGATTACCAGTATCCCTGGTGGTCACCCTAAACCCTAAACCCTGGGTGCGGGAGCACCTAAGGTACATCATGGCCTCCGCGTATTTGATCTATGCTGTGGCTGAAACCTTGCACTCCTCCGGGATTATTGCGACACTGTTTGGGTCAATGCTTATGGGTATCTACGCGACGCCCCACCGCACATGGTAGAATATGGGGATAATGGAAAAGAAAATGGAAACTACTATTTAGGGTTCAGGGTTTAGGGTTATAGTCCCCCTTAAGTAACATGGCACATGCGCTTACTGAATTGTTTCAATTGTTTGTTTTACCGAAGTTCTTTTCTAAGAATTACGTACTACACTACTGCAATGGTGGTCGTCACTGTTGTCATTGGTTTCTATCCTTTTCTTGTCTGCTCTGACCTGACGACAAGTTGAACCCTTGTCTTTCCATGTGGTCTGATCAGAAGCACGACGTTGATTTGGGCATGCCGCTGAATTCAGTCAAGCATATTCCACATGTCTTGCCAAGGGAACGATCCCCAGCATGGAAGCCCCGCCTCGGCTGCCATGCTCCCCTGACAGAACTGTATTATGTACGGATTAGGGGTTAGGGGGACATCGTAATAATGGAAAAGAAAATGGAAACTACTATATTATGCAGGGTTTAGGGTGTATCATAGAATTTCTGCATCGAAATAGCTCATGCAATCCTACCTGCCTGCTCTTAACCCTGTAGTTGTTCTCCCAAGCTGCCACGCAAAACAGCTTCAAGAAAAGGAAGCCGCATCTCTCCGACGAGGGGCTGCTTCTGGCCACATTCTTCGTGAAAGGTGGGGCTACTCATGAGTCTGAGGGGGGTTTGATACCTGGTTGTATATAGGGATATACAGGGCTAAAAGGGAGGAAAATGGAAAGTACTATTTAGGGTTTATGGTTTAGGGTTAGTGAGTCCGAAAAACGAGCAGAGTCCGGATGCAAAAAGGGTTAGTAGGTCATGGCATGGTGGGATATGCACACTGGGATTTATTTGCAAACGTCCTCACTGGAATGGCATGCTCAGCGGCGATCGACATCGTTCATGGGCACATCCTTCCAAGCATTACAAACCTTCGTTATCCTGACAAAATGAATGAAACCCAGAAGTAGCCCCTACGGATAGGAATGGCTACGTTGGCAGATACCTTCACGCGCCTGGGCTACCTTGAGTTGCTCCTAGCCGAGGGAGGGCACATCGCAGCTTCACGTGAACAACTACAATTACATGCAAGCCGGGACAGATGTCATAAGGTCTTGATTTCCTTCATGACCCACCTGTGCGGGGATTGTTGTGAACAGATAGACCAGGTATTGCTCGTTTGGCACCGAAAATCAGCAAGCCCCTGACGGAAAGGCTGGGTGAATATTATGGGCTTTAGAACAAGCGCCCCCGCGGTAGCCTGTCCCAGAAATACGCTACTTGTACCCTCCAAGCTTTGCGATCGTTAGCCATAGAACCCTGGCTGTGAACCCAGCCGCTGCCCAACTATACGAAACCACACATATTCTGAACATTAAGCCCTAAGCCCCGCATGCACACGCATAGATATAGATATATATATATATATATAGATTTGTGTTCCATATAATCTGTCCCGATAACCGTCACATATTCGCCCTTCCACTGCCGCTGCAGCCCTTGCAACCCCTCAGCCAGCACAAGGTTTCTAGTCGTAGGCGTCGGGGCAGTGGCCGCCGTTCATGAGCGGTCCAGGGCCAAGCAGCCCGGAAGAAGTTGGAAACAAGAGGGATTTGGGATATGAGCTCAAATATGGGGTTTCAGGCGTTAAGGGTTTATGGCCTCTAAAATTTTGACTAGGTTGGTCAGTGAGGGGCAGAACTTCAAGAGTCTGGGCCTTCAGATCTGGATTTTTGAGGATTATCTCGTTCACTGGTACATTTCCCGGTTACTGAAGCTACACAGTTGTCATAATTACGGGCTGCGAGGGAATGGGGGCGGAGGGGCTGGAGATACGAATTGATGAGGAAAACCTAATTATTCGGATTCCATGTTGCAAACCATTTGAGAGGAGAAGCTCTGCTCGGATAGAAGCCTAGGGGTGCATTCCCTACATCCGATTTTTCGAAAAGGCTGAACTACAGCCCCTTGGAACTTTAATACACTCGAATACCAAACCAATGCCTGTGTCGTCTCCTTCTAATATATCAGGCTAGAAGAGGGCTGGCTGACCCAAATTCCGAGTCCGCTCAACCTGAACCCCTTCAGCCGAAGTGCCTGTTCACTTCCGAACTGAAATATGATGGTCATGCAGGATGATTGGTTGGAACCATTTAACTCACTCCCCTATGTTTATAAGATTCCAACATAACCCTGTATAATCCTATATAACCATTATTTATGGACTCTGACATGTAGACCAAAACTTGGCCAAGTTCTTACCAAGGTTCAGCCTTTGGGTGATGCTTTTCTGCATCGTCGGCCGGGGTTGTGACCAAAAGCGCTTGCTTTCTCGGCTACTGGCCCCCCAAAAATGGCGTTTGATATTAAGAAGTAACCCCGAAAGGAGGGGTGGCATGGTAGTGTACCGGGGGGGGGGTATAGCAGGGGAACCCATCAAAAGTCAGCAACGTTTTTTAGGCTTAGAAATTCCGGAGTGCGGGAGTTTTTAATGAGAGGTTACTCTTGATGGGGAGGTTACTATTGATCCCATGATTAAAGACGGGGGCTGACTTTTGTCAGGTACCCACATGGCTCCTGACTGCCCCCTCATAGCAATCACGATTCCCGGGCTGATCTCATGGCTTTTAAGGGTTCAGGGTTTTGTTTAGGAAACGATTTGCAGACCTTGATCAGAATAAGGAACCCAGAATTCCTACATGATCACGTATCTAATCCCATCCCACATTGCCAAACCTCCGGCCTCACATAACAGATACCCCCATCTTATAGATCATTACATTTTATACATATAATATGGGGAGTACTCATTCTTGGGGGATCATGCGGCAAATCCCATGCAGATGCCCAAGCTCTATTCCTGCAGGTCGCGTTGCCGCCGTCATCCCCTGCGGAGGCATTAAGAATGTTATTATTGTACTTACTATTGCTATTCCGATTACTACTACTACTACTACTACTCCTACTACTACTCTTATTACTTCTATTGTTATTGCTACTGGTATTATTACTATTACTATCACTATTGTTGCTGCTATTGCTACTTGCTACTGTTACTACTATGATAGCTTGAAGTACTATTACAGGGAGGTCCAAGCTGGTATGTACGCTTGGTCATGACACGTGTCGAGTTGGGAAGGGTTTTTGTGGATTCCGGGCTTATTCTGGACTCCATAGGCGGCATACGACATCTGAATTTCTGTCCAGGCTTCTGGCCCCAAAGGTGCACGGGTGGGTTTAGGGTCTTTAGGGTTTAGGGTTCAGGGTGCGGGTTTCTTAGAGACACTCCCAAAAGCACGCCTCGGGAGGCATTGTCAATGCATCGAAAGCAGCCATTGGCCGGCACAACAAGGCCCGCTAAGCGCTCATGGGAACCATAGGCCCAAACTCTTTAAAGGGGGGTACAAAGGAAGTTGCGAGGAGCCCTTACAGGGCCTGACCCCTTGAGTGACAGGAGGCTTATAATCATAGAGTGTACTTATTATGGGTTGCAGGTAAACTGGAATCTTTGCTGTTTGGGAGGAGGCCTGAAGAGTATGCAGAGGTTTTCTCGCAGTGATTTCAGGTCTGTTATGATCTGTCAGAGCGGCGCGTATGTCATGATAATGCCCGGTCGTTCCCGTCCGGAGAATTTGACACTTGAACCATAAAGCATGAGCCGGCCGTAACCCCTGAACCCTGAATGGTTCAGAGCAATCTTGAATGTAAAACGGCTTAAGCGTCTTTCTCAAATTTGGGACACGTGACTGCAACATGGCATGCTTCCATGGCCTGCCTGACAGTTTTGTTAATGTGAGTAGAAGGGCATCAGCGGAATCTTGTATTCTGTAGTCCTGACCTGCCTAGACAGTATCGTGCCTTTCTCCCTTTCACCTGGCTTCACATGGTGCAGGTAGGACCTCCAAGTTTCACAACACGCAATGCCTCTGGTGAAGCCCTATCCTCCCAAACAAAGATGCCATCCTTTGCCGGCATCTGTGTAGTTCCCTTTTGGGGTTGCAATTGTTGTTGGGGAGACTTAAATACGGGGCTTTAAGTCTAGCGCCATGTGATCCAAGTGGTGATGCAGGCTCCACGCGAAGACTGGTTCATGTTGTCTTGGCAGCATCTCTTCATGATGTGGCACGCCGGCTTGCGAGGCCCAGAGGGTCGAAAGAGCTTGAGGGCCTTATGATGGCGCATGAGACATATGCATGCCTGCATGTATGTGCGCGGGCACACGTAGATGCACATCCAGACTCATTTGTATGTACATGTATGATGGGTGTAGGTTTGTGGCTTGATGGCAGGAATTGTTTTAGCTGTGAAGAGTCTGAACTAGCCGAGAGCAGGAAACGTTCACGCCACGCTACCNNCCCCCCCCCCCCCCCCCCAACCTTTCAAAAACCCGCACTCATAGGATCCTGCGAAAAAAATTGCATAGGACATCCGTCAAAGTCCAAGAATTCTTACCTTACTGTGATACCTACGTACTTCATTAAGTCTGATAAATCCAACTCGCATGAGTCACGTCAACACATTCCTGAGACTTCATGAGGCTGTCTTAGATCTTCACACTTGGAGACTCATTCTGAAGCATTCTATCAGAACTAGCTATATCACTAAAGTAGGATATTGCATGTGCACATATATAGCCCCCCTTAAGTAGA